GCCCGCCCCTTGCCTTGCCCTGCCCTGCCGCCCTGGCGAGCCCCTCCCCCAGTACCAGGTCCAAGTCTGGCTCGGGTGATTATCACCTGAAAAACAGGCAAACCTGGCCACTGGCCAGATTCTCCATCTCTGTGTCAGGGTGGCTGGGCAGGCAACTGCTCAGCAGGACAGGACCCCGGGGGACTTGGAGCTCAGGGAAAGCCCTGGAGGGCGTCCAGGACAGAGCTGCTGGCCAGGGTTCCTCTGGCCAGCGGCCTGGAGATCCAGGACAAGGGTCACATTGTATCAGCTGCTGCTGGCTTCTCCCTCCCATGTCCTCAGGGCGGCAGAGCCCTGCAGCTTCTATCTGCTGTCTGCCCATCCGTATTTCTTGAGCTCTCAAGAGTGAAAACATAGTTTGAGAATGGCTGTTCTGCATTTGTTTGGGGGGTGTCATTGGGCTTCTGACAAAGACAAAGCCCCCAAACCTGCCTACACCTGTGCCGACGTGGGAGGCCTCTACCTGTACTGTGCTCTGTGGCCGCCAGAGGGCGGGCAAGGACTGGAACCAGGACAGTGACACCCCTGCGCTCCACGGGCCAGGTGCTGGTTCCAAAAGGCGCCAGCCTGGCCTCACCCACCCCTCCTGTCTCCTCCTCGAGGCCCAGCACTCCAGCTTGCCCTCCATCCTCTCTGACCCTGGGGCACATTTAAGGGCTGACAAGCTCTCTGTAGGACCTCACCCCAGTTAGGCCAGGGGGCCCCGGGTAGGGTTCAGGACAACTTCCACATCTGTTCCTCCCCTTCATTCCCCCCAACTTCTCATCCACCTCCCCCCACTGAGGGCCCTCACTGCTTCACCACCTCAGGGCCTATTGGTGCTTTGTCTCCTCTGGGAGGGTAGGTCCGCACTGAAGCCCTGGAGCCTGGCAGAGCTGGCACAGGGGAACTGTGGGCGCGAGGGAGGGAGAGGGGGAGGGAGGGAGGGAGAGGGGGAGGGAAGGAGGGAGAGGGGCAGGGAGGGAGGGAGGGAGGGAGAGGGGGAGGGAGGGAGGGAGAGGGGGAGGGAGGGAGGGAAAAAAACAAAGGGAAGGAGGAAAGAACTGTCTGCCTCCACTCAGCCTCTGTCCCGACCTCCGGATCAGGTTCAAACGTGGAACGGGCGTGGGCCCTGAACCTGGGCTCCATGGCCAGGTCCTGCTTCTATCGCCTTCTGGAGCCTCCAGGTCCTTGCTGGTAAAATGGGGGCCCCAGAGGGACCAGCCACATGTGGGGTGAAAACGATGCCTGGGCCTCAGGAAGCACCTTTTAGCCTTTACCCTGGTTATGTGCAGTTGCCCACTGGACACCTTCACCTGGACCAGAGACACCCCCGTTCATGTCCACAAGGAGCTGTCCTCTGTCCAGGTCAACACCTGGTGTCAGGATCACCTCCTTCCTGTCCAGTGTCTCCCGAACACCCAGGCATTCTTCTATGTGCTCCCTCTCTCTAGGTTCCCCACTCCCCATGTGGCAACTGAACCCTGGGTGAGCAGGTGCCCCTTCGTGCAGCCCAAGAAAGTTCACACCTGGCTGTCCCCTTGCCACACAACCCTAACTGACCATTGCTCACAAAGTGGATCTGTGTGCCGCCGGGGCCCCTGGAGGACGGGGGCAGTGTGGACACTGGTTACCCCCCTGCCAGGAGCCAAACCCCTGCTTGGTTAACTCCAGCTGGCATTGCCATTACTCAACCAGAACAAGTTACTGCAAACTTAGGGGCTGCAACAACATCGATGTATCATCTCGCTGTTTCTTTAGATCTGAGTCGGCGTCCAAGTGGGCTGGACCAAGTCCTCTGTTCCTGGTCACAGAAGCTAAAGACACAGTGTCAGCTGGGTGAGCCCTTACACAGAGCTGGGAGGAATGGGGGTGGAATCTGCTGCAAACTCATCCGGGTCCTGGGCAGAATCCAGTTCCTTGTGGTTGTCGGACTGAGGTCCCATTTCCTCTAGCTGTTAGCTGTGCTGTCCCTGGCTTCCAGAGGCCTTGCTGCCCGCAGCCCCTGCACCTCAGAACCCACACCCACATGTTGGTCCCTGGCGCAACTTGAATCTCTCTGATTTCACCCTCTTGCCAAATTTCTCTGCCAGCAGCCAATCGCTCTCTGCTTGTAAGAGTCCCAGCGATTGCATTAGATCTGCCCAAACGATCCAAGATCATCTTTCACCTCAAGGTCCCTTTGCCACAGAAGGTGATGTTTTCACAGGTTCTGGCTTCAGGACATGCACAGTTTTGGCCATCAGTCAAGCACCTGCTAAGCCGCAATGTCCCTACCTACAGTGAGGGCGGCCCCTGTTTCCTAGGACTGTCAGTGTGTGTGTGTGTGTGTGTGTGTGTGTGTGTGTGTGAGATATTTGTGTTTATACGCTTTTATACATGATAATAATTCTTATTTCACTGTATAATTGCAGTATTAGTCTAAAGTAAATATGACATCATTATTCTAAAGTTATAGTAGCTTCCTCTATCTACTGAAGGTTGAAAATCCCAAAGCACAGAGGATGCGCCCAGAGGGTTGGTCCCTGGCCACCCTGGCCCCCTGCGTTCCGCCAGTGGGCAGCTGGCTGCCTTCTGGGCCTCTCCTGATTCTGTTCACCATCAACCTGCCTCCTGCCGGTTCACAAGCACACCCTCTTAGGCGACTGGGCAGTCACCCACGCGCACTGTCTGTGTCGGCCCTGACCAGACTCAGGCCCTGGTGGGCAAGTGAGGTCAGTCCTGCCCACCCTGTGTCCCTGGGCCTAAAACCATGAGGCACTGCCCAAGAGGGGTCACCCAGCAGAACGGGGATGGGAGTGGCCCTGACCTTCTGGTGGACACAGGGGCTGTACAATCCCAGTTCTGCTCGGACCGAGCCCCCTGAAACTCCAAGGCTCAGCATCACTGGATAGGAGGGAAAATAGCTGCCCACAACCCACCTGGGCGAAGGGCCGGCCCCTCTGCACCAAGCCCACTGCTCAGGAGCATCCCTCCCTCCTAGGCACCTCTCAGGGCCAGATCCAGGGAGAGGCAGCCCAGGGAGGGAGGGCCGAGCTGCGGAGTTGAGGGTCTGGAACGTCTAAGGGAGGCTGCAGAGCTGGGGAAGGAGAGGGCAGCCCAGTGTGGGGGTCAGAGCTGCAGTCTTGGGGTACAGGAGTGGGCGAGCTTAGAGGGTCAGCTACTGAAAGCAAACTGTCCCTTTGTGGCCTGGGGTGGACCAGCTTTTGACGGGACGTCCTGGCTCATGGAACCCAATCCCCTCACTCGGACAAAGAGGAAACTGAGGCTGGCCGAGAGGACTACTGACCTGGCTCAGGACAGGGGACGGGTCGTGGGGGTGAGTTCTTTACCCGGGGCATCTTCCCCAGCCTGGGCACCACACCCTTCCCCAGCGGCCTCTCCTGCACTTGAGACCCACCCATGACCAAACCCAGCTTACCCTCTACCCTGGAGACCCCCACACCTGGGGGAGGTTGCTGGGTGGAAAAGCAGCAGGTGTAGGAGAGGAAAGCATATCAGAAGGCCGTCTCCCACCTGCGTTGGATGTCTGAGGTTACCCAGGGGGACAAGGGCTGCCTCTTTCTGAGTGGTTCAGCCCCCTCACTCAGAGGGCTTCTCCACCCACGTTTGGGGTCCCTCACCTCAGAGGAAGGGTGATGGCTGTCAGGGTTTGCTCCCCAGTCCCAGGACTTCAGAGCCTGGAGATGGAGGAGGCTCCCTGCTCCCCACCTTGGAGCAGTGAATGCCAGGGACAGTCACTGCCAAAGCCTGCCCCAGGTAGCTTGGCCTCCTTCCAAGCAGGCCAAGGGACAGATGGGGCGGCACCTGCTCGGCAGCCTGGCAATCTGGAGAGGAAAGCAAGAGGCCCTGCCTGCTCCCGCAACAGAGAAGACCCAGACGGGGGCTCCCCAAATAGGGCCGGGCTGGTCAGCAGCCCCACTCCCCAGTGCTCCTGCTCCTCAGACTGCCTGGGACCCACAGGGTCCTCCTCCCTCCCGGAGTCCGCCCCTCCTTTACCGCATGCTGGGGCTCTGAGAGCAGGCAGGATCGTGAGAAGAGCAGTATCCCGGGAGACCCGAGAGACCAGAGGAGGGAGGAATGGCTGCCAGCTGGGTGGGGAGGGCTGGGTTTGTGCCTGGCCTTCCTCTGTGCTAGCCCTGGAGTCAGCAGGGAAGACAGTGAACCAATGAGGGAAATGTAATTCAGGGGGTGAGATGCCTTGTGATGGGCAGTGACAATGTCTGAAAGGGTGGTGAGGAGGTGCCATCAGACACAGCCCTCGAGGCAGTGAGAGCAAGCCTCGGGGAGGGGGAAAGAGCATTCCAAGCAGAGAGAACAGCTAGTGCAAAGGCCCTGAGGCAGAAGTGTGCTTGGCAAGTTTGGGGACCAGAAAAGAAAAAAAATGAGTGAATGAATCCGCTCTGTACCTCGTCCCAACTTCACGGATTAAGGCTTGGTTCCAGTCTGACCCTGGAAGTGGAGCGTCCCAGGACAGCTGCCTGACTCCCCGCCCGCGCCAGGGCCCGCCATCAGCCCCACGGAGACCTCCCAAGTGCTGTCACTGGCCCAGTCCCCCACTCTAGGCACACACGTCCTGTCATTCAGTCCGCGGTCCACCCCCCACCAACCCTGACCCAACCCCCTGCAGTGCTGTCACTCAGCGCCAGACCCCGCCTACATAGTGCTGTCACTCATTCTTGACCCCACCGGTTTGCCCAGCACCGTGCTGTCACTCACTTGGCCCGCCCGAACCCGCTCCCACACTTGTGCTGTCACTCAGCCCCTGGCCCCGCCCTCCGCCCCGCCCCGCCCCGCCCACACACACGTGCTGTCACTCACTCGGTCCCCAGCCTGCACACTTGCGCTGTCATTCAGCACCAGGCCCCGCCCCGCCCACGTGCAGTCCCTCGCTGCCCTCCGCCGGCGCACTTGTGCTGTCACTTAGCCGGGTTCTGTCCGAGCGGGAGGCGCAGCTCTGCCTGCGGGCGGACACTCGGCCCCTCGCCCCATGGACACCGTGCTCTTCTTGGCCCTCGGGCTGCTGGCCCAGGTAAGGCACAGGCGCCGCGGGGCCCTGCCCCCTGCACTGCCCCACGGAGTTTCAGAGTAGGGCGCCCGGCCTCCCTGGGACTGCTGGCCTGGCTGCCTTTGTGGGTCCTGGGTGAGGCAGCGGGGTCCAGGGCTTGTGTGCCCCAGCAGTGAGGGGCCCAGACGCCAGTGTAACAGCCTCGGCCTGGACTGGATGGGAGCCAAGCTGGGGCACTGCCAGGAGACCACCCACAGGCCGGCCCCTCCCTGAGGTGTGCCCCTCGCCCTGGGGTGGTCAGTCTTGTGGTGGGGGGCAGGGAGAAGGTAGAGCAGCAGGGGCACCCGCCGCTGGAGGAGCTGGGAGGCCAGACTGTGCAGGGACCCCGCTGAGTTGGTGGTTAGTTTTGAGGGCAGTCTGAGCCCCCCTCCATGAGCCGGGCCAGCAGGGACAGCTGCACGCTCCACCCTCCAGGAACTCACGCTCCCTTGGATGTACCCTGTGCCCGGGAAGCCAGGTCCCCGCACAGAGCCTTCCGCAACCCTGCTGGTCCCCAGCCTCCCCAACATGGAGCAGGATCGGTAGAAGGAAGCACCGGCTGCCCCTTCCTCCCACTATGGGCACCCCCTGAGCAGGGCCACATCTCCCGATGCCCTAGGCTCCTGGGAAGGCGCTAGGCTGTGCCCACAAATGGAGCGTGGCCTCAGTGGCCTCCCATCTTCAGAGGACTGGGCTGAGCCAGGGTCACAGGACAAAGGCCAGGGGCCAGGGCTCACAACGTGGGGTTATCAGTTGCCATTAAGGTTCCAGGCCCATCAGGCAGCACCTCCGGATGCTGATGAGAGCGGGCTTCCCGGTAACCACCACAGGGGCTTCCTGAGCTCCCCCAATTCCCACAGACCTCCCAGCTCCAGCTGGCCAGCTCAGGTTTCACCCTGGCAGCTGACCAGGTGTCCACCAGCCGGACCCTCCACAGCAGCTGGCCCCTCAAGGCACTTAGCACCCTGGCTCCAGCCATCTCCACCCCTGCCTTAGGCCCCCCCACTGTCCCCTCCCCCCACAGTGTCCCTATGCCGAGGCCTTGGCTGCCGTGTCCCGCTGGCTCAGCACAGAGGTAGTCACCTAGGCCCAGCAAGGCCTTTGCCCTTCTAGCCCTCTGTTGGGAGACCACCCGCTTCAGAGCCCAGATGCCTCCCCATCTCCCATGCTCCCTCCCCACTTGACCCAGGAACAGCATGTCTGCCCCAGCACCCCTCCCACATCCCGTCACCCCAGGTGCATTTCTGCAGACCTGCTCCTCTGCGTCCACTCTGCTGCAGGGGAGGGGAGAGAAACCTCTCAGATTCCTCCCCCTGCCCCAAGGGGTACTGCAGAATGCCCTTGCCCGGACAACTGGGATTCAGGTGGGGGTGAGGGACCAGCCGGTGGGGGCCTGGCTGCTCAAGTTCCTGAACACGGGGGCTTAAATTAGTTCCACTGTAAGGGGAGGGAGGGGAAGGGTCGACCCCTCCCCCACCCAGCTCAACTTTCAGACTTGAGTCCTCTCCTGTCCAGCCACATGGGTTCCGTGGCTGTCCTTGGACAATTTTCTCCACCTCCGTGAAGCCCCAAGGCAGGCCGGCCCCAGGCCCAGGACGGCTGTCTGGGGTGGGCCCTGGTGGGGGTGGAGAGACCTAGAGATCGGACTGAGCAGATCCATTGCCTTGGATGAGGCATGTGCCCCCACCCCTGCCAGTGTCCCCTAAAAATCTCAACCAGGGGGCTTAGAGTGTGTATTTCCAGAACTGACCTGTGTCGTTCCCTCCCTCTGCCCACCGCGGCTCCAATAGCTGAGCTTACTCTGGGAGAGGCAGAGGGATGGATGGGGCAGCTCGGGTGATTCAGACAGGCCCAGGCCCTGCTGGGACCCCAAGCCTGTGTCTGTCCTGTGAGCCACACAGTTTCTGGAAAGAGGAGGCCTCAGCCGCAGTGCTGGGGGCTTTGCAAAGGGTAAAGACCCCCAGGGGCAGGGTGGGACAGTGCCTGGGACAAGAAGGCACCCACAGCGAATGCTCTCATCTTTTCCAGCAAGGGCGGGGCTGTAAGCCACCGGGCGGGTGACCGCAATCAAGGCAGAGGGGACTTGGCTCCTGGACCACGGGCTCTCCCAGGTGGGCGGGGTGGCTGGGTCCACTGTGGCGCTGTCACCGCAGTGGGGACAGGCAGAGGGAACGGCCGCCCTTCCCACAGCCCTTTGCCTGGCCGCCCTCATTCCTTCCCTGAAGCCGCAGCAGCTGGAGGGGGCTCGGGGGTGCTCGGGGCAGGCCGACAGCTGGGTCCATTCCTGGCGTGCCTGACGCTTGCCAGGCCATCCAGGAATGGGGTGGCCTGGATTCCAGCCCTGGGGGGGAAGGGGCTATGGCCCCAGCAGCTTGTGGGGAGTCCCGAACAGGGGTTCTTGTCCTCCGTGGCACCTGACCGCTCCCCCAGGCCAGGCTCCACCAGGCTCCACCAGGCTAAGGCTCCTGCCTGGTTCCTGTAGACTCCCAGAAACTGCGAGGCCAGAGAAGCATCAGGGCAGGAGGTGGCCAGCTGCTCACAGGCCCAGGGCCCTGGCCCAGGTCTGGGTTGGGCAACACGATTCCTGCTTCTGCAGGAGTGTTTGTAAGGCGCTCGCTGCGCAGCCTTGTCAGAGCTGGTGCTCTGTGCATGGTGGGAGCTTCACTGCTTGGCAGCCCTTGGGCCAGTGCTGGGGTGGCCCCCAGTGAGGGGCAATGGCCTTGGTGTCTAGGGCTTCCAGCACGTTCTCTCAGGTTCTTGGTTAAAGGCAGACCAAGAACCCAGCAGCTGTGGCTCAGTGGTTGAGCATCGACCCATGCACCAAGAGGTCGCCAGTTCGATTCCTGGTCAGGGCACATGCCCAGGTCGTGGGCCGGATCCCCAGTGGGGGGTGTGCAGGAGGCGGTCAGTCGATGTTCTCTCTCATCGATGTTTCTCTCTCTCCCTCTCCCTTCCTCTCTCTGTAAAAGCAATTAAAAACAAAAAAAAGGCAGGCCAAGGGTGGACCTGGGGTGTTATTGGGCATGCACTTGGGGCAGTGGGTCCATGATGCCGTTGTACTGGCTTGGTGTGGGAGACAGCAAGGTGTGAGCACTTGTCACTAAAGGGTGCCGCCTGCGTGCCGGGGTCTGTGTCCCTGGCTGTGTCCCTGGCTTTGCTGCCCGTTGCCCAGGTGCTCTCTCCCCCTCCAGCCACGTCTTCTGGGAAGGGGACGTGAGAGGCAGAGGACAAACTGGGAAGTGCCCCTGAGCTGCGGGGTCCAGCCCAGCCGCCCCACCCACCGCAGCCTCTGATCTGGGCGAGGGGCCTGTGCCAAGGCTCTGTGGCTTCTGCTGACCTCATGAACTTGCGCCGTGGACAGACTGGGACCCAGGGTTCCCAGGCTTCGTCTCCACCACCGCACTGGCCCCACACCAAAGGGGCGGGCATCCGAGGGAGTCAGCAGAGGTCACTGGCGGGAAGGGGGCAGACGGAGGCTCTGTGGTGGACTGGGGGTGGGGGGCGGGGATAAGGGCCACAGCTAGACAGGGCAGAGTGTGTCCCACTGTTCCTCCAAGAGCCTGAGGTCAAGGAGCACCTGTGGACTGTGTCCACCTCTGTCTAGCCCCACCCCAGGGGAAGTCAGGGCCGGTGGGCGCTGCGAACACGGGGCTCTTTCAGAGCCTGCTCCTGAGTGATGGGGGCCCCGTGCTCCCAGCTGTCCTGTGCTCTGAGCCTCCCTCTGTGAGCTGAACTCGCCACCACTCCTAGGGACCCTGAGGCTCAGAGCGGGTCTGGGGAGGGGAGCGGAGGGGGCAGGGGGCAAGGGGCAAGGGGAGGACTGGAGCTTGGTGCTGTCCCAGATGCTCAGAAAACAGACGCTGTCCCCAGTGGTACGGTGACAAAGGCAGGCAGGTCTCCACTGGGTGGGAACACCCACCACCCTGGAAGTGGCTTGTGCCTGGGTGGTTTGGGCACGAAGCCCCAGGCAGGCTGAGGCCAGCACTGCCATCTGTCCGGCTGCAGGGGTGGGCGCTGGCCAGCCACCTGGTTCTTTCTCTAAACCTGGTTTCTGCTACCTGGACTCCAGGCTCTGTAGGTGACATGCCCCTGAGGGCTCTGAAACTGGGGAGCAGGCCGGGGGCATCGGAGAGGTCGGCTTCAGTGTGGGGTTACTGCCACTCTGTCCCCAAAGTGTGCGAGGACTCACTGTGCCCGGCCCGGAGCCCAGGGAATAAGACCTGGGCAGAAGGGGGAGGCGATGCAGGGGACTGAAGAGAGGATGACACAGCGAGCAGCCCTCTGCCCCTGCCCCACCCTAAGCACCCCGACTCAGCGCACACGGCCCCCCACCCCATGCCCCTCCTCCATAGACTGCATGGCTGGAAGGGAAAGTGAAAGTCAGCAGGACCAGGCCGCTGGTAGGGGGGCTTGAGGGGCTTGGAGGGGCCCTTGGCTAGAAGAAAATTCCCTTCAGGAGGACCCAGGAGCCTAGAGACCCTGGGTGGGGGCAGACAGGGGAGCAGGAGGTTCACTCACTTGCTGGGGCCCAGCGGGGTTTGGCTGCAGGAGAATGTGAGACAGGCACCCTCCCATGGCCTAAGAGCTGCACCAGGGCGGCCTCAGCCATGATTTGGGGAGCATGAGGGACCTCCTGTACCTCCATGCACTGAGGGGCCTGTGCGAAGACCTCATATTTACACCAGGGCCGTTCTGGGAAGCGCAGGAAGGGTTTGTGGGGCTGCTGCCCCTCTGCCGTTGACTCACAGGATAGGTTTCCCCTCTGAGCGGTGGGGTGGGCTGTTTGGTGACAGAGAGCTGGCAGTGGTCTGAAAAGAGTTCTGGCCCCTCTGCCACACCAGCCTGCCCGGATTGGATCCCAGAGTGGTGACTGGGTGCCCCACCCTGGGGCAGAGTCGGGGGGGGGGGGGGAGGAGCCGCGGGCCCCTCTGCTGCCCACAGACTTGGCGCGGGGACTTTAGGGGCAGCCTCACGCACAAGGCATCCTGTGGATGGGGGAGGAGCGTGCCGAGGGTCCCCAGGTGCTAGGAACTGAGTATTGGCGTGAGAACCGCACCTGGTTCCGGGGGTCTGGGGAAACAGCACCGGCTGGCAGGGGGCGCGCTGGCCCCTCAGATGGCCCCTTCCTGTCTCTGGGCCTCTTCTGACAAAAGCATCCATCTGGCCGACCTCAGGAATCCCAACTGTGAGGAGGCCTGGGAAGGCCATGTGTCACTGCCCCTGACCCCCGCCCGCAGCCGAGAGCCCCCACCTCGTCCTCCCACGGGCCCAGCCGTGTGCAGCGGGCCTGCCCCCCCCCCCCATTATCCACATTCTTCACCACCAGGGTCCTCTGGGGCGGGGCCCAGCTGGGCCAGCTGTTGTTCCCATTACCCATCACTCGCGTCCCTCCCAGGCCTCCTCTCCCACCCCAGGTCCCCCCCCCACTGCCCCAGTACACCATACCTCCAGGCCCTGGTGCCTGAGCCGGCCCTGGACCATGGGTGGGGGGGGGGTGCCTGTCCCTCAGTAAAATGAGATGGGTTACAGCATGGTCGGTTCCCCCCAGTCACCCAGGACCTGTGACAACTCCTGGTCCCTGGACTCTGTGCCTCCCAGGGGGGGCTAGAGACAGGCTGGCGGGGAGAGGGGGGGCTGCTGGGCCTCCCAGGGCCGGAACTCAGGGTTTTGTGGGGCAAGGTGCTCCTTGCCCTTCAGGGAGGGGAGTTCACTCACCCACTACGGGTGGGGTCAGGCCTGCTCCCCGGCTCACTGGGGGTGCAAGCTGTGTGACCCCTGTTTGTGTCTTTGTTGCAGAGCCTGGGCCTCTCACTGGGGGTTCCCAGGCTGAGGAGGCCCAGCACCCTGTTCCCCTGGCACCGGGCGCCCGCCGCAGGCCGTGTTCGGAGAGCCTGGGTCATCCCCCCCATCAGTGTGTCCGAGAACCACAAGCGCCTCCCCTACCCACTGGTGCAGGTGAGGGCGAGGGGCCGAGTGGGCAGAGCAGGGGCTGGCTGTCCCCAGTGGGTCCCCAAGGTGTGTGCTCTAGGACAGGGATGCCACTGGGGCCACAGGCTGAGCTGCCCATCCCAGCTGGGGGCGGGGCTGAGACTGCCCGAGAGGGAGGGACACCCCCCCCCCCCCCCCGCACCTCCCCAGCCCATTTCCTGCCCCGACAGATCAAGTCCGACAAGCAGCCTCTGGGCAGCGTCATCTACAGCATCCAGGGGCCCGGCGTGGACGAGGAGCCCCGGGGCGTGTTCTCCATCGACAAGTTCACAGGGAAGGTGTTCCTGAATGCCACGCTGGACCGGGAAAAGACAGACCGCTTCAGGGTGAGACCCCTCCCCCTCCCTGGCTCCTGTTCCCCTGGGGGCGCATTAGGCCCAGTCACTTCTCCGGCAAGATCTGACTTCCCTGATTGGGGGACAAGGGTGGGAATTTGGGACTAGGACCTACTACCCAAGGAAGCAGATGTCATCTTCCCATTTAACAAGGGAGCAAACAGGCCCGTGGAGGAGAGCTCTGTCCTGCCCAGGGACTGGGCAGCCCGCAGCAAGGGCAGGCACCACCTCCCCAGGAAAGCACCATCCCAGGCTGGTGACACCCTCTTCACCCACAGCCAGTTCTTGCCCCACCTGGCTACGTTTGGTGGGGATGAGAAGCCGGAAGAATCCCACAGTATTGCCAAATGCCCCCAGCAGGTGCCCCTTGATTCACGGGGTTGGGACCCAGGGGAAGGCACCACAGACCTGCCCTGTGGAGGGTTTGAGACTGTGAGATCTGAGAGAAAAGGCAGTGGGGAGAGAGTTAAAGAGCCAGGGAAGCAAGAGGCTGAGGAGGGGAGCCAGGAACCTCACCTTTGTTCCCTACAGAGTAATCTGTCCCCCACCCCCCATCCTGGCCTGTCCTAAATGTCCTTTTGAACCTGCCTTGGGGAAGGGGCCCCTGCCTTTGCCTTCCTGTGCCTTGAATCTTCCTTCAGACTGTTTCCTTACGCAGAAAGTTGCTAGAAATTATGTCATGACCATGCTCCAAAAGGAGAAGAGGTGGTTTAATTAAAAATGTTATGTGCACAGAGGAATTAAAATAAACTTCAAGAGGAACCAAAACTGTATAGAAAAAGGGAGCGAGACCAGGAATAGTGGGAGCACTACCTCAGTCCCACCTAAAACCCAGCTGTGAGCTTCCTGGTGGCCAAGGCAAGAGGGGAAGCATGGTGGTCGCCCTGCCTGCTCTGCGAAGGAGTCTCCTCTTCAAGGGAAGTCCCCTTTGCAGAAGCACGTGCCCCACACCGTGCTGTTTTTCATCTGCGTAACTTGGTGTGCCCAGCGGAACATAAAGTCTACACTTGCTGTCCCTTTGGTACAGCCCTCATGGGAGCCACAGAAATTAGGGATCACAGTGCCAGACATTGCTCTCTGCTTGACTAGCTAAGGGCCTTTGCTCTGGACCTGGGAGGATCCACCCTGGAGGAGCCCACGGACCTGGAGATCGTGGTTGTGGATCAGAACGACAACCGGCCTGTCTTCCGGCAGGAGGTGTTCACAGGCCGAGTGCTGGAGGGCGCAGCGCCAGGTGAGGTGGGCGCCCGGCCCCCCTGCCCAGTGGGTTCCCGCAGGGGAGGGGAGATGCCGCAGAGGGGCTCTGGGTAGGTCAGAAGCTGAGGCTTTCCCTGTAACAAGATTTTCAAAGAGTCTGCAAGGAAGTAAACAGTTCCCGGCACTGACGGAATTCCCAGGAGTCAACTCATGTCACTTCCTGTTTCAACCCCCTGAATCTTGCAAATGCAATGAGAGGATTCGTGGAGGGCAAAGCTCTGGCTGCTGCCACCTCCTTTAAATGGAGGGAAAATGCACGTAACATAAAATTAACCGTTTTAAAATGAACGCTTCAGTGGCATTTAGTACCTTCACAATGTTGTGCAACCAACACCTCATCTAGTTCCAGACTTTGCCACCCCCCCGGAAGGAAACCCCTCGCCCATTAGCAGTCTTGTCCGCTCTCACGGCCTCTTAATTCCACATTTTGATCACAAACAAAACACAGCCCTCTGTCCTTTACGAATCTTCACAGGAAGGACTGCTGTGTGTGCGTCTGTTCCAGGCGGGCAGATTTCCTTCCAGACAGCGATCCCTCCTCTCCCCCTGCTCCCAGGGACTTGGTCACGCCCCAGGCCAGCCCTGCTGCAGATGGAGAGCACCAACGCATGCAGAGTGCGCCCTCCTTTGTCCCTCACGCTTGTTGTATTTCATCCCATGTTTTGTTTTTCATGACTTAACATGACAGTCCGTTTTTTGCTTTTAATTTTTTATTTTGACGTAATGTCATACTTACAGGAAAGTTGCCAAGAATGTCTGTATACCCTTCACAAAGATGGGACACACATCATGTTTCCTTCCTTCCTTCCTTCCTTCCTTCCTTCCTTCCTTCCTTCCTTCCTTCCTTCCTTCCTTCCTTCCTTCCTTCCTTCTCCTTCCTCCCTCCCTTCTTCCCTCCCTTCCTCCCTCCCTCCCTCCCCTCCCTCCCTCCCTCCCTCCCTCCCTCCCTCCCTTCCTTCCTTCCTTCTCCTTCCTCCCTCCCTTCCTCCCTCCCTCCCTCCCTCCCTCCCTCCCTCCCTCCCTTCCTTCCTTCCTTCCTTCCTTGCTGGTTGCGGATCTGATGCCTTCAGTGTATACATTCTAATTACTTAGCCACAACACACTTATCAAAATCAGGAAGTTAATATCTCATCTACAAACCTTATTGCGTTCCAGTTAGCCCAATAATACCTTTTATAGCAAAAGGAAACCCTGCCTCTTCTTATAGTCTCATTTCAGAGTTCTGCCGGGGAAAAGCCCCAGTGTCTGGTCAGCTATGGATTCGGTTCTGTTGGCTGCTTGATCTTTGAGGGTGGATCTTTTTCCCTCTTCCTTTTCTGTGTGTAAAAGAACAGCAGAGATGGAGATCAACAGTGGGTGCCTGGAAATGGGGGTGGCCTCCCCTTGGGCAGGTGTCATCTTTTTTTTTTTATCCTCACCCGAGGACATTTTTTCATTTTTATTCAGATAGATAGAGTGGGGGGGTGGGGGGGGAGAGTGGAAAGGAAGAGAGAGAGAGAAACATCGACGTGAAGGACACATCGAGTGGCTGCCACCCACACGACCCCAACCAGGGCCTGGGACAAACTGCAAACCAGGTACGTGCCCTTAGTGGGAACTGAACCCGGGACTCTCTGGTCTGCGGGCTGACGCTCTAACCGCTGAGCCAAACCGGCCAGGGCTCCCCTAACCATCTTTATAAAATTGTTGAAAGTATTATAGATGTCCCTCTTTTTGCCCCATTGACCCCGTCCTCTCCCATTCTGCCTATCCTAACCATTTTTAAGTGTATGATGCAGTGGTATTGAACACATTCATCAAGTTGTACAACCATCACCACCACCCATCCCCGTAGCTCTGTTCATCTTTTCAAACTGAAACTTTGTTTCTATTAAACACTAACTCCGTTTCCCCTCCCCCACCCCTGGTGACAGCCATTCTACTGTCCCCTCCATGAACTGACTAGGTGCTTAACGTGAGTGGAATGTATCTTTTTATGATCAACTTCTTTCACTTACCATAATGTGTATCCATGTTGTAGCATGTGTCTGAATTTCCTTCCTTTTTTGTTTGTTTTTTGTTGCTGTTGGAAGGCTGGATAATATTCCACGTGTGTAGAGAACACGTCTTGCTCATCCATTCATCTATTGACGGGGACTTGTGTCGCTGCCATGTATTAGCTGCTGTGAATATGGTTGGACAGATATGTCTTAGAGACCCTGCTTTTGATTCTTTGGGGATATCCCCAGAAGTGGAATTGCTGGGTCATATGGTAGTTCTATTTTTAATTTTCCAGGTAACTGCCATACTGTTCTCCACAGTGACTGCACCATTTGACATTCCCACTGACAGTGCACAAGGGTTCCAGTTTCTCTACATCCCTGCCAGCAATTATTTTCTGCTTTTTGGATAGAAGCCATCCTGATGGATGTGAGGTGCTTGCTACCTTGTTGTCGTTTCAATTTGCATTTCCCTAACGATTAGTGATGTTGATCCTCTTTTCATATGATTATTGGCTGTTCATCTGTCTTCTTTGGAGAAATGACTAGTCAGGTCCTTTGCCCATTTTCGAACTGGGTTGTTTGGTTTTTGTTGTTGTTGACTTTTAGGGGTTGTGGATATTAATCCATTATTCGATATATGATTGCAAATATTTCCTCCTGTTCTGTGGTTGTGTTTCCACTCGATAGTGTCTTCTGATGAACACAACTTTTTCATTTTCATGAAGCCCAATTTATTTTTCTTTTGTTGCTGTGCCTTTGATGTCATATCCAAGAAATTATTGCTAAATCCAGTGTCATGAAGCTTTCCCCTATGTTATCTTCTAAGACTTTTATAGTTTTAGGTCTTACATTTAGGTCTTTGATCCATTTTGAGTAAACTTCTATATATATGGTGTTAGATAATTATGGGTCCAACTCATTCTTTTGCATGTAGCTGTCCAGTTTTCCCAGCATCATTTGGTGAAAAGACTGTCCTTTCCCCACCGAATGGTCATTGCCCCCTTGTCAAAAATCATTTGACCCTGTATGTGACCATTCCTGGCTGTATTCTTTTCCATTGGTCTATACGTGTGCTTTATGGCAGTGTCACAACGTTTTGATCATTATAACTTTGCAGTAAGTTTTTTAGAACCAGAAAGTGTGAGCCCTCCAGTTTTGTTCTTATTTTGCAAGATTGTTTTGGCTATTTGGGTTTCCTTGAGATTCCATGTGATTTTTAGAATGGCTTTTCTGTGTAAGCCAAAAAAAAAAAAAAAAAAAGGCCTTGGAGTTTTGATAGTGATTGCATTGAATTTGTAGATTGCTTTAGGTAGTGCTGAACTTTTAACAATATTAATTCTTCCAATCCAGGAACATGGGGTGTGTTTCCATTTATTTGTCTTCTTCACTTTCTTTCAGTGACGTTTTGTAGTTGTCATTGCACAAGTCCTCCACCTCCTTAATCACGATGCTGACATTCTGAAGCATTCCAGCAATTACTTTGAAGATGGTCTCTGACTGTGGGTCTGTGTGGTTGGATTTGGGCTTCGCATTTCCGGTGGGAATTCCTTACAAGGGATGCCATGTCCTCCTCGGCGCGTCATAGGAGGAGGGACACGCGTCCTGTTCTGAAGATGTCGACCTTGATGCACCCAGTGAAAGGAGTGTCTGTCAGGCTTCTCCACCGAGATTTTTCTCTCTTTCCCTTTGTAATCAATAGGTAGCTTGTGGAAGAGACTTAGAGACTGTGCAAATATCCTGTTACTCCTCAAAGTTCCACCCACCCGTTTCAGCGTCCACTGATGGTTCTCGCCTGAATCCGTTGTTATTCCGATGGCTGTAAAATGGTGGTTTTCTAATTCCATCATTCTTTTATCAGTTGGCTTCCTACTATATGGTAGAACTTTACTTCTCCCCTATGTATGTACGTAAGTATGTATGTGTGTGTGTGTGTATGTATATATGTGTATATGTGTTTTGTTCCTTTATATTAGCCTGGACTGTGGTGTACACCTGAGCTTGGGGAGGATGGAGGTCAGACCTACATCTCACCACAGGGAAAACGGGTGTGAGGACAGGCATTGAGGAACCTCCTGGCCCCTGCATAGTCCTCACCCCTTCCTGAGATTAGGCGGCTTGTTTGCCCCAGAGCCCAGGTCTGGCCCTGGTCACTGCTCCTCTCTGCTGGTGGGGCTGAGGACAGCGCCCGTGGTGCCCAGCACAGCCTGTGTCCCAGGCGGCTGCGGCTCAGGGCCGGCCCCAGATGCTCCTGCTGCCTCCCGTGGTCTGACCCGTGCTCACAGCCCTGTTGGGCTGTCTCGGTGTCTCGTGGGAGACACAGACAGCTCTTGATTGAACGTGTATCATACACTCCTGCTTCCTCCCCCACAAACAATGTCCAAAGGCTGGGACATTCACGTTTGCCCAGGTCTCTCCGGCATGGTGGGCCGCAGGGGAGTGGAAGTTAGGGGCTGGCACCCTTGGGCGTCTTATTCACACGCTCTCATTCCTCCTAGGCACCTATGTGACCAGAGCCGAGGCCACGGATGCTGACGACCCGGAAACGGACAACGCGGCCCTGCGGTACTCCATCCTGGAGCAGGGCAGCCCCCAGCTCTTCAGCATTGACGAGCTCACGGGGGAGATTCGCACAGTACAAGTGGGCCTGGACCGTGAGGTGAGGCCGCCAAATCTGCTTCGGAAGCTGGGAATAGGGAAGCCAGGGTCACACGGGACCCATCTTTGTCCACCGGGTTGGCGCGTTTTGGTGAACAGGGGCAGCTCATTTAGAGTTGGAACCTCGGACCAGGCCTTGCTCAGCCAGACTCTCCCTCTCTAGTTGCTACAAACGGTCACAGTGACTGGGGGCTCTGGGCACACTCAGCTTGCCTCCTGGGTGGTTGTGGGTTAGGTCAAGAGAGGGTGAGAAGCCCTCTGTGCAGTGTCTGGCCCTGACACAACTTCAACTTTTTTTCTGCCAAAAATACCCATTGCCCACTAAGCAGTCGGGCTTGTCACTTCTTGTGCCCCGCAGTGGCCACTCGTGCTCAGAGGGATGGCCACCCTCTGTCAGGACCACTGCTGCCTGTCGCTGCTGGACTTCTGTGCAGCATCAGCACCTCCAGGAAGCCCTTCTTGGTTTCTCCACAGCCGCCTGTGTGGCTCTGTCTGGTCACTCACTGTGTTCGGTGATCATCTCTCTGCTGAGGCAGGGATACAGCTCGCCGGTGCCCCTCAGTGTCCAGCACCCAGTAGGTGCTCTGTACACGCTCATCTGACTTGGTAACTGGACCTCGAGAGGCTGCACATTGTGCCCAGAGTTTGGGAGCAGACAGGGTACCTGGAGCCGCTTGGGACCCTGCCACGCACAGGGCTCTCCTGTGTCGGCTGAGGCCACGAGGGTCTCGTTCCTGGCCTGGCTCTGTGCCCACCCGGTCTCCATGTTGCCATCCCCCAGGTGGTCGCTGTGTACAACCTGACCCTGCAGGTGGCAGACATGTCTGGAGATGGCCTGACCGCCACTGCCTCGGCCATCATCACCCTGGAGGATGTCAATGACAACGCCCCTGGCTTCACCAGGGATGAGGTGCCACTGCTGTCCCCCCCAGCCCCTGCTCGGGCTGCCTTCCCTCCCCACGCCCAGTGGGGACCAGGTTTCGTGGAGGGTGTGAGGCTGGGAGCTTTGGAGCAGGAGCCCGAGACCTGAGCTGGGGGCAACAGAGACGGTGCCTGTGAGCAGAAAGCTGTCAGCAGGAGCCAGGAGAGCAGTCCTAGGGGAAGCAGCCAGACACCCCTGTCTCCCCAAGCCCATGTGCCGAGCCCACAGAGAGGGCTCGCCGGGCCCTGGAGGGGTGCCGACTCTACAGGCAGACCAACCTGGGAGGGCTCCAGTGGGTGGGCAGCGCTCAGCTGGGAGGGGCAAGGGAGGCTGTCCCCACGCGACAACCCTGGCGTCACCGGGGTGGGCTCCCACAGTTCTTCATGGAGGCCACAGAGGCCACGAGTGGAGTCGACGTGGGGCGGCTGGAGGTGGAGGACAGGGACCTGCCTGGTTCCCCCAACTGGGCAGCCAGGTTCACCATCCTGGAGGGCGACCCCGATGGACACTTCACTATCCGCACAGACCCCAAGACCAACGAAGGCGTGCTGTCTGTGGTGAAGGTGAGTGGGGCGCAGCTCCCTCCCTGCGGTGTCGCTGTGGGCCGAGCTGAGGCGGGTGTCTCTCCTCATGCCCTGGGACCCCCTGGGACCCCGTCTGGACCTTCTGTGCGCCCTCAGGAGAGCGGAGGGAGGGGACGGAGCCAACAGGACAGGAAGTGCTGGGACGCAGGCTCAGGCCATGCTGACCCCGGGCAACGGGGCCACCCCACAAGCATGTGTGCCGTTTACAGTGTGAATCACTGTACCTGCCTCAGCCGGAAGGGAAACCCAAGAAACCATAAGAAACCCGGGTACGGACACATGTATATTCACACATGTAAGGATATAGATATACTTAGATATTGCTGTCTAAAGAGACTGGTTGCGAGAACCCGGCTCACACCGTAGTGGGGCTGGCTGGGCAGGTCTGAGCTGGTGCTCCTTCCTCCCCAGAAACCTCCGTTTCAGTCTCTTTTTTTTTTAAATCCTTATCTGAGGATATTTTTACATTTTATCTTCAGACAGAGTGGGAGCGGGGGAGAGAGAGACACACACACATCGATGTGAGAGAGACATATCAATTGGTTGCCACCCACATGACCCCAACTTGGGCAGGGGACGAACCACAACCAAGTACATGCCCTTGGCCGGAATCGAACCTGGGACTCCCTGGTCCGCAGGCCGACGCCCTCACCGCTGAGCCAAACTGGCCAGGGCTTCTGTTTCACTCTTAAAGACTTTCAACAGTGGGTGAGGCCCACCCAGATGGTTCAGCATAATCTTCTTTATTTAAGCCAATTGACTGTAGAAATTAATTTAACCACATCTACCAAATACCTGCCGTCAATACAGAGATGAGGGCTTGAGTCGCCGGGAGGACCGCCCAGCCAAATAGCACATGAAACGCCACACAACACCCAACACATTCATCCTGGGTGATGAGTATTTATTTGACCATCTTTACATCATTCTTTGTGACCTTTCTGTCCTGCATAAGCTTCACTGTTCCAGGGCTGAAAGGGAAATGGGGACGCAGGCCAGGGCCTGGGACAGGGGCCCCACGGAGGCTTTCTCCGGCCCAGCCCGCGGGGGCCCAGCGCCCTGAGCAGGCTCTCAGCTCTGCTCCCTCCCCACAGCCCCTGGACTATGAGCGTTGCGAGCAGTATGACCTCCGAGTGGCGGTGCAGAACGAGGCCCCCCTGCAGGCTGCTGCCCCCAGAGCGGAGCGGGACCAGGCCAGAGTCAGCGTGCGGGTGCAGGATGTCAATGAGGCGCCCGTGTTCCAGGAGAACCCACTGAGGACCAGCCTGGCTGAGGGGGCGGCCCCGGGAACACCCGTGGCCACCTTCTCTGCCCGAGACCCCGACACACAGCAGCTGCAGAGGCTCAGGTGCCTCCCCGGGGACCCTGGGGGTGAGGCAGAGGGAGCAAATGGCCCCATTCCTCCATTTCCCTGCCAGGGCCAGGAGCACAGCTGAGGGTACCCCAGCCCCTGTGCCCTGAGGGCTCCCATCAGGGCACTGGTCAGAGGGTGCAGGGCTCATCTGTCTGTCTGTGTCCCTGACAGTCCAGGGTGTGACCTTGTTCTGCAGGGCAGGACATGGCTACAGTCGGCACCGAGTGACGTGGCCACAGTCTATTCTGACCAGCCTCTGGGTGTCTAACCCTGTTCATTCTGGCAAGCGGGGCTCCCATGAGACTAGCCCTTGGATTTCACCCCCAGCCCTGACCCTGTGTATCTGTGTCTGTCTCCACGGTGTTCATGGGTTGAATCCTATCAATGTGATGCTGTGTCCCTCAGTTGCCATGGGGCCCGGGTCAGCTCACCGGCCTTCCTGTGCCTCACTTTCCTCATCTGTGAATGGGGATAGAAAACACCAGCCGAGGGCCTCAAAGGCACGTGTGTGTACATGCGTGTGTGCACGCAGTGTGTGTGCATATAAGGGATGTATGTGTGTCTGTATGTGACCACCCCGGTAGGGAGTCCTGTGGAGCTCAGGGCCAACCTGTTCCCTCTCCCCTCCTTGGCTGACAGCTACTCCAAGGATTATGACCCCGAGGACTGGCTGCAAGTGGATGGAGCCACAGGCTGGGTCCAGACCCAGCGTGTGCTCAGCCCGGCGTCCCCCTTCCTCAAGGATGGCTGGTACAGAGCCATCATCCTGGCCTATGATGACGGTGAGCACTAGTCCATGCCCGGGCCCCACGGCTGTCTAACCCGGGCGGGGCGTCCCTGCCGCTGGCCCAAGGGCTGAGAGGCAGGCCCACAGAGCAGACACACAGGGCGGGCAGCAGGCCGCAGCAGGGGCAGGACGCCCACCAGGCCTCTTCTGTCGGCAGCCTCCCCGCCCTGCACGGCCACCGGGACCCTGTCCATTGAGATCCTGGAGGTCAACGACCATGCCCCTGAGCTGTCCCCACCATCTGGAAGCCTGTGCAGCGAGCCCACCCAGGGCTCTGGCCTTCTCCTGGGTGCCACGGATGAGGACTTGCCCCCCCACGGGGCCCCCTTCCACTTCCAGCTGAACCCCAGCATTCCAGAGCTGGCCCGGAACTGGAGCCTCAGCCAGATTAACAGTGAGCTCCCCCCAGACCCCTAGGGGTCCGGAGGGGTGGGGGTGGGGGGGCGCGTTCAGGCGGGGCAGTGGGCAGATGGGAAACAGGCCCAGCGTGTTACGATGGCTGTTGGGCATGGAGGGAAGGCCAGCCCCGGAGGCCCCGCTGACCTCAGGCGCCCTCCACAGTAAGCCATGCACGTCTGAGGCTGCAGCACCAGCTGCAGGAGGGGCTGCACCGCCTCAGCCTGCTGCTCCGGGACTCGGGACAGCCGCCCCAGCAGCGCGAGCAGCCCCTCAACGTGACGGTGTGCCGCTGCGGCCAAGACGGCGTCTGCCTGCAGGGGGCTGCTGCGCTGAGGGCAAAAGGCCCGGGCATCAGCCTGGGTGCCCTGGTCATCGTGCTGGCCACCGTCATCCTGCTGCTCTGTGAGTGCTCACGCCCTGAGACCACTGCCCTCAGACCCTGGAGCCTTCGAGCGCCCCACTCCTCCTCTCCCTGCACACCCCGTGCCCCTACGTCCCTCACAGCCATGCCCAGCGCCAACCTCACCTTGTCTGCCTGCCCAGTGCTCACCCTGCCGCTGGCCCTCCTCCCGCGGTTCCGGCAGCAGTCGTGGGACAAGGGGCTTCTACAGGGGCTGCAGGACGACCTCCGGGACAACATCCTCAACTATGATGAGCAGGGGGGTGGGGAGGAAGACCAGGTAAGGGTGGGGAGTGTGGAGGCCAGAAGGTTAAGCTGTGGGAAGGGCCCCAGGGATCCCAGGCTGTGGGCCTCCCCAGATCATCTCCCTACACCCCAAACCTATCGTGCAGTCTCAGGAAGGCGCCTGGGATGGAAACCCCACCATCATGGATCAGGCTCCAGGCCGTGCACTTTGTTTGCAGGATGCCTACGACATCAACCAGCTGCGCCACCCCTCCGAGCTGGCAGCCCTGAGCGCCCCTCTGGGACGGCCGCCTCTGCGCCGTGACACCCCGTTGAGCCGGGTGCGACCCCCACCATCTCGCGCACTGCCCACCAGCCCCGCTGACATGGCAGACTTCATCAACGACGTAGGTCCCCCAGGGGTGGAGAGGGCAGGGGCACACATGTGCGTGCACACACACACACACACACAGCACATACAAGTGCCCTCCTCCGTGGACCCCCGTACACGCGCAGTCACAGAGTGGGCTCACTGTGGGGGACCCTGGCCGAGCTTCTAGGAAGCTCCTGGGAACATGATTGCTGACTGAGGCTGGGGGACAGAGGGCCACAGGCACTCAAGCCCTGTGGGAAGAGGAGGCTGGTGACGCCCTGCACAGGACCTAGCTGAGCTGGGGCTGGTTGGAGCCGGCTCTGCAGCGCTGTCCACTAGCACTGGCAGAGGAACCTTAACGACCCCTGCAGGTAGAAGTGACTGTCCGCTAAGCCCAGGCGTCCACAGTCGCCCCTCTGCACCCAGCATCAGTGACTTCCTGAGGTCCACACAGGAGATGCCCAGAACAGGGGAAATGCAATTAGGTGGGCAATGGGGGGAGCGTGCAGGTACTCCTCAGCAGCGCCCTGGCTCATAGAACGCCCCTGACAGATGCCTGGCGAGGGGCAGGCCCCGGCGCAGGTTCCGACTGGGAGGCAGGCAACCCCACAGGAGCCGATGGGACAAGCACAGGTGGAGGTGACAGACCACTGGCCAAACCTTTAAGAGGCAGAACTAGCTGTTCTCCCAGCTGGGGTGTCAGGGAGCCTCAGGCAGGACAGTCTTCGGGGAAGGCTGGGCCCCAGGAAGGAGAGCTGCCCAGAGGAAACCTCTTTCAAATCTGAATCCCAGGACAGGGGCTCTCAAAGGTGCCTGCACTCTCAGGGCTGCTCCTGGAACCCCCGGAACCCTCAGACCTCCTCCGCCCCTTCCTGGTGCGGAGCCTGGGGTTGACCTCGCCCTGCGCTGCGGCTGGGCTGCGTGCGCTAGGGTCCTGAACTGGGGCCTCTCTGTAGGGCTTAGAGGCTGCAGACAGCGACCTCAGCGTCCCACCCTACGACACTGCTCTCATCTATGACTACGAAGGAGACGGGTCCATGGCAGGGACCCTGAGCTCCATCCTGTCCAGCCTGGGCGACGAGGACCAAGACTACAGCTGCCTCCAGGACTGGGGCCCGCGCTTCGCCCGGCTGGCTGACTTGTACGGTCCCCCCTGAGGGCCCGAGGGAGGGCAGGATGCAATGGCCACTCTGGGCAGGGAAGGGAGCTTTCTAATGGGGACCAGCACCCACCCTGCGGAGGGCACAGCACCCGGACACAGGGGGTGGACACCTTACCAGGATGGACAGCCTGACCACAGAGGTCCGATTGGACATGCCAGCAGCTGGCCATGTAGCGTGGAGGACCAGCTGACCTGTGCAGAGGTGGCCGCAGGGCACCTGGCCCCACACTCAAGGGGCTTTGGGCAGCCTGCTTCTCCCAGGGGAGGATGGAGTCTCAGGGGCCGAGCCCAGGGCCCAGAACGGAGCTGTGGGAAGGAGGTGCCCCTCCCGCCCTGAGGGCCCAGCAAGCACTGTTAAGTAGGGGCCAGCCACCCTCATTCCCAGCTCTGCCTCGCCCCAGGCAGCTCTCATCTCTGTATGAAAGGATGCAGCTCTCCAGCAAATGTGAATTAAAAATGCGCTGTCTTTCTGGTGCAGGGTCTTCACAATGACTTGCAAGGCTTTGCTCCACCCCAGGCCGGCCAGGGCCTCCCCAGGCAGGTGGTGGGAGGGGCTGCAGGCACCCTGACTTGGGGAGCCCCTTCCAGCCCCAGGATGTGGCCTGAGGGAAGAACCATGAGGATACCAAGTTCCATGAACACTTTTATCCTTCACAAGTGGTGATGGGGTGTGGGAGGCCAGAGCCCCCTAGGAACAAGGGGTCCAACTGGGGACCCCTCTTCACGTTGACCCCACAGCTCCTCCCTGAGACCCCTCTGCCCACACTGACATGTGGCCATCTGAGGGGAGGTGCGTCTGTCCAGCCAGAGTCGCCCTTCCTGGACCCACTATGTCTGGGCCCAGCAGCGCGAGGGTGGCAGCAGGGGCAGGTGGTCCTGGCGGGGGCGGCCCCGAAGGAGTGGGGATCTGCGCAGGCGGTCGGCATCCTGCAGTGACTGGGGCAGCCCGCGTCCTCGGCTCTCAGGCAGCAGTAGGACACACAGCAGGAGGAGGATGGAGAACGAGGCGAAAACCATTTGTAGCAGAAAGAAGCCCCGTCTGCCGTGCATGTCGGCGAGAGGGGCCGCCGCCTGGCCCAGGAACCCGGCACCCAGCACGAGGCCCAGCCCTGCCCCCCTGCAGGAAAGGGCACAGTGTGGGCGACCGGTGGCCACCCTCTCAGACAGCCGGACATGCAGACGCAGTGCCCCCAGGCAGGCCCAACTCCGGGGAGGGGCCGGCCCCCCCAGAGCCAGAGGTGTGGGGACTCTAGGAAAACAAACTGAAAGCGGTTTTGTGGAACAGCTGCCCCTCTCTACCCTGACACAAGTTTTGTTCTTTTCATTAGAAAACTGGAACACAAAATGCCCCCTGGAATTTGACTGTCTCTGGGGGCTGGCTCCTTTCTGCCCCTCCCCCAGGCCTCCCTCTCCCCATCCTCCACTCCGGGCCTGTCTGTGCGGTGTCACCCAGGAAAAGACAATCCGAACTCCAGTTGTGATGGAGTGGACAAGTCTTGGGCATAAACTGTGGGGGTGTCCACTCCCAAGAGGGCTCTGGGAGCTGGGCTGGCAGGATTCTGGGCCCTGTGCTGCGCAGCCCGAAGCTCACCTGGTCACTGTGGGGAAGATCTCTGCCGCGAAGAGGCTGCTGAGGGTGGACACCGCCTGGGAGGCCAGGAGCCCCAGGACAGAGAGGGACAGCATGGTCCAGGCCGGCAGGTCTGCGGAGTGAAGAGGGGGATCCCGTGCTGCCCACACCAGGCTATTCCAGGGCCCTCCCCAACCTTTCAGCCCCGAATCTGCACTCTGGGCCTGGCATCAGGTGCTCCAGGCTGCTCCCATCCAACCCAAACCCTAATGTTAAGCCCCTGCATGTAGATATTTTTAGCCCCTTAAACTCTTTGGGCCTCAGCTTCTTGGGGTACACAGTGGGAAGATGAACAAGGTAAAAAGAACAGCAGTCTCATCCCAACACACCTTGCTTCTCTCATGACCCCAGGAGGGGGCTGATCCCAGGACCATCCCCGCCCCTCTGGGCTGACCTCAGCCCAACAGGATGACCCTGTTAGCCCACAGGACTCTGCACTCACACAGGACCCCTGAGAGAATCAGCAGGGATGCCAGGCCCATGACCAAGGTGCCCAGCAGCAGGACCAGGCGGCGCCCCCAGCGATCCACTGTCAGGAGCAGGAAGACGGTGGCTGCCACCTCTAGGCTGGCCGCCAGGTAGTAGGGTCCGTAGAAGGCTGGCTCATGAGGGACCAGTCTTCGGAAGAAGCTGACTCTCATGCCCCCTCCAACCAACCTGGGAGGGAAGACAAAGCTATGGATTCAGCCATAGCTGGGGACTCTGGCAACTGAACCCCCCAAAGGGGTGGGGGACACAAGTCCCTCTTTTAGCCCACCCACACCGTCCCCTCCTCACGAACTGAAGCCCAGGATGAGTCCGTTCTTCCAGGTGGTGTGGGTGTGCCAGAGCTCCAGCACCCAGTGGTGCCGGGGCCGGGGGCTTCCTGCAGACAGCACGTCCAGCTCTATGGGCACGAGAACAGAGGGGCGCGTATGTGCGGTGACGTCCCTCCTCCGGCACCCAGGCCTCCCTCCTGGCTGGTACATTACCCGTAGCCAGGGAGCTCTCCTCCTCGGGGCTGTTCTCAGGGTCCACGCCGCTGGCTTCGGCAAAGTGCCACAAGATCTTCCTGGCTTGGGCCAGCTGCCCCGTGGCCAGCAGCCAGCAGGGAGACTCGGGGAACAGGGCTGGAAACCTGCAGGGGAGGGGTGAGGACGCCTTCAGGTCCTCCACACAGTGACACCAGGCTCCAGTGCCTTCCTCCCTGGACCCGGGGTCAAGACATCAAGTGGCTTTATGTGTCCCTGTCCCGTACCCACATGCCTGGCGCTCCATGGAGGCCGCTGACCTGTCTCCCTCCACACTCACCCCCAAAAGAGCAGCAGCAGTCCTGTTGCCAGGGCGCTCAGCCCCTGCAGAAGGCGCCAGTCCTGCGCGAGCAGGGCCAGGCCAGGCAGAAGCAGAGTGCCTGCCACCGAGAAGAGGCCAGCCCCCACAGAGAACGTCAGGCGGCGTGGGGGGTCACACAGCTCCAGACCTGAGCAGACACAGGTGGCTGTGGCTGAGTCCTCCAGAAAGGGCTGCTCTGTCCAGTGCTGCAGGGACCAACTGCTGACCTGCCCAGGAGCCGGACATCTGAAGCCAACTCACTGCCCACTCCAACACCTGAGCCAACAGTGCCTCCCACCTTCTCAAAAAGAGCCCTCAACAGCCGTACAGACATCCCCTCCAGTGGGGTTGGAGGCCGAGCCTGAGTGGGTGCCCCTCTCCAGTCCCCCAGGTACTCACGAGTCACGTAGAGGGCGAGAGAGGCCCCTGCCAAGGCCCCCCCGTGAAGCAGCCGCAGGACCAGCAGGGCAGTAAAGCTGGCGGCCAGGGCCTCACCGGCCCCCAAGCCTGTGGCCAGCACCAGGGAGGTCACAAATACAACCCGGCGGCCAAACCTGGTGGGCAGTGGGGGACACACAGGAATGCAGGTCAGGACAGCTTAGGGGTTTAGCTGGACCCTAAGGGGCTCAAAGGGAGGGGCAGCACCTCACCGGTCACATCCCATGCCCAGGATGACACAGCCCAACAGCCAGCCCAGGAGGTGGCTCGTCTGCTCCAGTGGCACCTTCCAGCCGTTCTCACACACAAGGTTCCACTGCAGGGGACACCCACCGCCTGTCAGCCAGCCAGGAGCCCCCCACACCTTGCTGGAGTCCCCAGAATGTCAGCCTGGAAGGGGGCCTTAGACACTATGTTGCAATTCCTTTCTAGACAGAAGGGGAAACCGAGGCACAGAGAGGGCAAGGGACCTGCTCAAGGTCACACAGTGTGGTCTCCTGACTCTGGTGGGCTTCACATGGAATTGGGAAAAAAATTCCTGGTCTGAGCCCCCATGTGATAATGACCTGGGGTCCCCAGAGTACCCACATGGAGCCCCAAGTCTGGCTTCTGTTTTCTCTGGATGGAGTTTCATCCACCTCTTTCCAGCCCTCACTCTCCCCGAGGCTGGACCTTGGTTGATCTTAGTTTCTGCTTGCTGTGCCCAGGGCCACCAGGGCCTCATCCTCACCCTTCCCTGACCTGCTCACTTCAAGAGCAGCTCCCGGAACAGATGGCAGGGCTGTGCCCACCTGCTTTTCCTGGTCAAGAGCCCTTGACCTCAACCTCAGTCTTGCACTTCCCCACCTCCCTTTCCAAGGTCCTGTGCCTTTCTTTTTTTACAAGCTTAATACACTGTTTAGGGTCACACTATGTCAGTGTTTTTATTTTAAAATCCAACTACTTGTGAAAGTTGGTGGGCGCTGATCAACTGACACACCAAGAGGCCGAAAGGAGTGTGGTGGACAGAATGGGTGGGAGAAGAGAAGCCCTGCGGGGTGCGGAGCCAAGACAGGCCTGGCAGGGATGTGGCAACCTCGCTCCAGTTTCTACACTGGGCTGATGCTCCCAGGGGTGGAGGTGCAGCTGTGGGGCCGAGGCTGCCAAAGGGAGGCAGGGATGGGGCTTGAGGGTGGGACAGAAGGTACCAGCTACCCCCTCCCTATTTCTTCCCACCCAGACCCGAGTTGCCCCCTTGGACTCCCCTGCCTCTAGTCCAACCTGCACACACCTCACAGGGGGGAGGTCTGCCTTTTGAAAAGTGAACTGACTTTTGCTCCCTTTATTCTAAGCCTTCTGTTTTGGGAACCCAGTTTTGACACAGCCCAAAGCTATGGGTTGCTCAAAATGGTTATGGCACTGAAGTGGACTCCTGGCGCCTGCCTGATGATACTTTCAGCTTAACAACTCCAACTCCAACTCCTCCCCCCCCTCCCCCTCCCCCTCTCCCTCCCGCAGCTGCCCACCCGCCTTGGCAGCCTCAGGGTCTCAGGCTGCAACCTTTGATTTAGGCAACAGCTGCACCATCAGAGAGGAGGGGGGCAGCACCCTCAAATGAGAGCCTCAGTAGACCAAGGGCAGAAGGGCAAGGGTGTGAAGGAGGGGGACAGAGAAAAGGGGGTTCAGTGGAATGGGGGACAGAGAAAGGGGAGAAAGGAGAGGCAACAGAGAAGAGGGAGAAAGGAGTAACAGGATGGGGAACAG